TAATGTATTTATAAAAAGTATAGGCCTACTAGAAATACTTTGGTAATAAATATATGCTTAGTTACACTTTTAAGGAATATGCTAAACACAAGCACACTATTAGTATATTTCTAAAAAGTATAGTAGAAATACTATGTTAATAAATATATTTTTAGTTACACTTTTAAGGAATTTGCTAAACACAGGCATACTTTTAGTGACTTTTTAGTGTATTTACAGAAAACATACTTATGTTACCCTTACTTAAAGTATATTGTATGTCTACTTTGTGTAAGAACATAAAAAATGATTACACTTTTAGTGGGTTTTTAATGTACTTTGTATTGCAGTAGGCCTACACATGGTTATATTTTAAATATTTATGTATTTATAATTTTAATATTTGGAAAAGTACAATATTTTGAAAAACATTTTTAACATTTACAATGTACAAACGTTTGTCAACTATTATTAAGCATTGCGATATTTAAAATATGTTGTTTAATATGTTGTTCAGTTTTACTTAAAAGGTTATGCTACTTTGGTTGATTAGGCTGTTGTTCATTACATGATACATTAATTGTAATAAGCTAGGTGTTTATAAATTTGTTCAAGCTTGACATCTTTATTTTCTAATATATATTTCTGAAATTCCCACAAGGATTTCCACATCATATATGAAAAAAAAAAACTTGCGTTTACTTGTTTAAATTCAAACAACCCACTGACTAAACCTGATTGGTTCCAGAGCCATTGAACGGCTCTGATTGGTTCGTATGATAATGAGCTCACCCCAGAGAGCTTCGCATATAAAATATGATGTGCGTGCAAATGTCTCTTGAATGTGAATATAAGTCTACATTTAAACAGTATTATATAGAGCGGTCGCCGATCGTGTCTCTTTAGGGCACTTGGAGGAAACCACGCAATTCATATGGATTACTTTGGCAATGTTTTTTTGCGATTTCAACTTTTTGAAACGTGAACATCTTTGGTGAATCTTCTTTCATTGGTGGGACATAACGTTAAATCTCTCAGATTTGTATTAAAATATCTCAGCTTTTCATTTGAAGATGAACGAAAGTCTTAGATGGTTTGGAGCATCTTAAGGGTGAGTGATGACAATTCAAATTGTTTTGGGGGAACTATGAAATTAATTAGAAAATATAGTGATATGTTCTTATTTTGACCAGCTTCTGCAA